CTAAGGGAAATCGACCGCCACATAGATTTAGTGCTTGACACACTCCCACTAGCATGTGTGCCATATTGCATATCGCCACCCAAGCTCACTGAACTCAAGAAGTAGCTAGGCAAACTCCTTGATGCAGGGTTCATTCAACCATCTAAGTCACTGTATAGCGCCCTAGTTCTAATCCAACGAAAGCACGATGGAACCTTACGATTATGCATCGACTATCGAGCATTGAACAAGCTCACAATCACGAACAAAAATCTGATCCCGCTCATCACAGACTTATATGATCAATTAGGTGGAGCCAGCATGGTTAACCATGCTGGATCTTTGATCTAGATATTACCAAGTACATATCGTAAAGAAGGATGTACCAAAAACAACATGTGTGACACGTTACAGATTGTACGAATTCCTCGTCATGCCATTTAGTTTAACAAATGCACCAGCAACTTTTTACACTTTAATGAACAAGGTATTTCAATCATTCCTTGATAAGTTTGTGGTTGTTTACTTAGATGATATTGTTATCTACTCCATAACGTTAGAGGGGCATGCAACATATTAGACTCATAATGGAGAAGCTAAGGGAGCATGAACTCTATTTCAAAAAGGAGACGTGTTCCTTTGGTATGCAAGAAATCCCTTTCTTGGGACACATTATTGAAGATGGAACTATCTGAATGGATCCAAATAAAGCCAAGGCTATCTTAAAGTGGGAACCGCACAAAAAGGTAATGGAATTGAGATTATTTCTAAGTCTTGCAAACTACTATAGGAGATTTGTCAAGGGTTTCTCTGCAATCGTCGCCCCACTCACCAACATGTTAAAGACAAGTATCGTTTGGAAGTGGAGCATGCGAAGCAAACAAGCCTTCGATGCCCTAAAATGGGCAATGTGTGTAGAACCAATCTTAGATTATCAGGCCACACTAAATCGTATGAGGTGCACACAGATGCTTCAGACTTCATTATAGGAGGAGTGTTAATGCAAAAAAGACATCTTGTGGTTTACGAAAGCCACAAGCTCAACGACACGGAGAACAGGTACACAGTCCAAGAGAAAGAAATGACTGTCATAGTACATTGTCTTCGAACATGGAGACATTATCTCCTTGGAGATCCTTTTGTGGTTATGACAGACTATGTAGCCATATCTTATTTTCAGAACTAGAAGAAACTAAGTCCTAAATAGGTATGATGACAAGATTTTTTGGTGGAATTCCATTATCGACTTGAGTATAGGCCAGAAAAGACTTACTTAGTGACGGATGCACTTAATCGTAAAGCCACACTAGTGGTTGTGAGTGAAGCTTAGGGAGCTCTAATGTCGTGCATCAGATGAGGGTTATCGCACGACATAATAGCATAGGCATGGATAGACTATGCTAAAGAAGGAAGGATGAAGAGGTTTTAGGTTCTAAATGAGCTATTATGCACACAAGGGCTCGAGGCTTTATGTGCCATCCTATGGCAAGCTTCGAAAGGAGATACTCAACAAGTGTTACGACTCGACTTGGGATAGACATCTAGGAATGCACCGGACACTGGCACTAGTAGAACAGGGATATTATTGGTCATAATAATGTGAAGATGTGGAGACATATGTACGAACATATCTTGTCTGCCAGTAAGTCAAGTCAGAGCAAATGAAATCTACAGGGTTAATATAACCACTATCGATTCTGAATCGACCATGGGAAATTTTAAGCATGGACTTTATCATGGGTGTTCCTAAGGTGAATGGATTGGGAAGCATCGTTGTCATTGTGGACCGTTTCTCAAAATACACAACGTTCAACGTTGCGAATCGTGAGTGTCCAACAACAAAAGCTGCTAAACTCTTCATGACAAACATTGTTAAATACTAGAGGGTTCCATTAAGTATAATGAATGACAAAGATGCATACTTCACAGGTAAATTTTGGTTCAAGTTGTTCAAGATGATGGGATTGCAACTTAACTTTTTGATTAGTTTGTTGATGGTTAAACCAAAAGGATCAATGCAATGTTGGAGACTTATTTGCAACACTTCATTCAAGCCATCCAAATTGACTAGCCCAAATGACTAGACATTGCTCAATTTTCTCGTAACCTACATCGTAGTGAGGCAATAGGGAAAAGTCTATTTGAGACAGTAACCAGACAACAGCCTCTTATGCCAAGCCATATAGTTGTTGGATATGCTAGGGAATCACTCATAGCTTACATGCATGCACCCGAATGGCAAAAGCAACTTGATCTTGTGCATGCTTATTTAAGGCTACCAATCACGCCAAAAAATGGGTAGATCAGTCTCAGAGATAAGTCAGTTTCGATGTTAGAGATTTGGTACTCATCAAATTACACAAAGTACTCAAGGATAAGCGACTCCGAAAAGGACTACTAAGATGAAACGGGGGGCCTTACAAGGTGACCAAATGCATTGGTCCCGTAGCATACAAACTTGATATGCCACCCAAGTCGAAAGTCCATCTAGTTTTTCATGTGAGTATGTTGAAACCATATCATGTGGACAAAGAGGATCTAAGTTGTGGATAGAGCAAGAGAACACCAGTAGGTGTACGATTAACATACGAGAAAGAGGTGGACTTTATTCTCGCCAAACGGGTGTTGCGTCAATAGAACTACATTTCACCACACCAATACCTAATCAAGTGGAAGGGAATGCTGGAGGAAGAAGCTAGTTAGGAACTAGTAGAAGATTTGTGGCAGTTCTAGGATTCCATAAAGGCGTTCCACTCGGCAACGAGGATGTTGTCGAAATTAAGTAAGAGAAAATGACAAGGGACACGAGTATAACCCCAGGCAACCATTGGACCAGGATGCAAATGAAAGGTTCCCAGTGCGCACACAACGGGACATGTTGCTAGGCACTTTGTGCCACAACGCCTCAGCAAGCCTAGAACGTTAATGTAGCACACAAGGCCCATGCATGTGTAGGCTGTGTGTCACGAATTACGCTCTTTCACCTAAGAATGCAATAGTCCGTGCGGTACTTGAGTAGACGCTTCCACGCAAGTCAGCCAATACTTAGTTATATTTGATCCAACATTAATAATAATAACAAATCAGACTAAGAGAATCCGCATACAATCAAAAGGCATACCAAATGCTATATATGTAACCATTGAGTTATAAAAAAGAAAAATATTTTATTAATATGAAATTAATTATAAAAGGACCGAGACATGCCATTGTTGGGGCATAAGGGTAGCCCTTTATGATTTGCTACAAACATACCTTTACCAGTGAGGCAGCCCAACAATTCGCTGATTGCTCACCCTCTATCAAGAGTTTACGAGATTTTACAAGTATTCTACCAATAGCCATTACAACACTTGAAATGAGAACATTCCTTTTTTAAAAAGCCTCCTCCCTAAAGACTTAACAAATATTTGTGGAGGTGTTAGCACAAGCCATTACATTGTTTGAAAGAATGACATTTTCCTTACAAGTATAAAAGACTCAATCTCATAGACAATTCTACACTATCATAATCCAATATAAGGTTGACTCATGACACTGTGCATAGGTTTCCTGCACACCAGTAGGCCGCGCGTGCTGCTAGGCTATGCATACCACATTAACAAGTCATGCCCCACTGAGGCAGCTATGAATCCTTGGCACATCAGCAAACTGCACCTCGTGCACTTGTAAGCCATGCACAATGGGTACGCACAAGCTGTAAACACCCAGAGCGCACCACTACCAAACCAACGCAACTGTTCCAACACACAAAGGCGCTTTATCTCCTTAGTTATATGTTTACTTTACTTGCACACCAAAGAAACCTAGGTTAGATATTTTCTTATTTTATTTTACTTGCAAGTTATAAATAGCCACCTTAGGGAGACTTTTTTTTTCGTCAAGCAATTTATTTTGTATTTAGATCTTAGATAGTTTGTTTTGCCCTCATTTTCTCTACAATCTCTTTCTTCATCTTTATTTACTTTACATTTCTACACCGAACATCAAGAAACTCGTTTAGACTTGCTTAATCTTCCGAACACGAGATTACAGCGTTGTATGGAACTTGACTAAAGTTTCAAGCCCGTGACACCTAACCCTACCTTAATTAAAATTAAAGAATATATAGATGTTGAATTTTGTTATTTGCTTGTCAGAAATTAATTCAAAAAGTAAAAATTAGTGTTTAGAGTTAAACTGCGTGCCTTTAATTTTCTAGAAGTTAAGTGATTTATTCCGTTTCCTTTGTTGGCTGCTATTGGGTTCCCTTATCTATATGCAGAATCAGTAATTTACTTTTCAATTTTCTAGTCTATGGCCTCATTTGAGTGGACTGCTTTGAAATTTATTTATTGCATATACTTCATGTATTTTTTTTTTTTTTTATACTTCATGTATTTAACTCTGCTATATTTCACCTTTTATACTGTTTTCTTTACTTTCCACGTTGCCTAATTTGCTGCGTGTTCTCTATTCATGAATACTTATGTGGATTTTCCAAGGGATATACCATTGTTGATTTTCAATTGCATTTAACGTATTCTACCTCTAGACCGTATGTATGCACGTAAACAATCTATGATATTTGGAAAACCTTTTATATCTAAAATAATAAATTACTTTGCTTTCATCTCTATGAATGGCCTCTTATATATATTGGCGGTAGTTTTTCATAAAAATGCAACTGTTGAGACACTTGCTTCTCTTATTGTTGATTTGCGTGATATCACCCTGAAACAAAGGTTATTTATTTGAGATTTCAACTTTACTCAAATCAAGCCATTTAAATCTATTTGTATGTAATAATAATAATAATAAAAATAATAATAATCCTTGAATCAAATTACAAATTTGTAATAACTGAAAACGCACCTCGTCCTGATTGAAAAATTCAACCTCCTTGCTTTTGGACCACTACAATCCACGCAAGGCTCACCATGAATATAAAAGATGATAAAAGTACTATATGAATAGAAAGTAATGAGACGAACCACTAATTAAATAAGTAAAAAAACAACAATCAAAATGCAAAACCGTGATTTAAACAACGATAGCTTCAATTGAACATTCAGCTCCATTTACATCATTCATTACCACCTCAGGTGTCTCACCACGATCATAAGCTTATATAATTTTTCATAAATTGCTAAATAGTCCTTGGTACATGTGGACAATCTTACAAGTACAGCATCTAGGGAGACACCTTAAGGACCATAAGCTGTAACCATTTCTGCTGTCTTCCTGAAAATTTCGTCCAAATAGTAACCTAAATACAAACAGAATAGTCACACCATTCAAGAAATCTGCACCTCTACATTAGCAGCATGTGGACCCAAAAGCTTGAAGAATTAAGTTGTTTATGGGGTCGAAAGGGCTTTCAACCTAAGAATTCCCAGCTACTGTGGAATTTGCTTCTGATGATCCAACCATTTCTTGGAAGGCATCCATGTCAATAGTCATATCCTCAATATCAGCCTCCTCCACCTCTGTCATTACCTCATCCCTGTCTCCCACCACAGGTTCAACCCCATTTTGGATGGGATCAGACCGTGGTTGAGCTTCCTCACTTGCCTTCTCTGGTTCTGGATTTCGCATCATTTGTGGATAAGGATTGGTGCAGACTGTCAATGTAGAGGTTACTAGCAAATTCTACAAAGTATTAAAAGATGAATCATGACCTAACACAAGGCATAAAAGAAATAGAAAGAAAGAAAATGGACAAATGGAATGATAAAATCAAATTCAAATCATTGACTAGCTGGTTAACAGTAAATTTGCACTTCATTAAATCTTTAATCACAGCCCACATTAGTTTACTAATATCCTTGATTTTCCAATTTCTTCCACACCTTTTGTTCTATTAAAATCTATTTGAAAAGCATCTATCATGCATATAACATTGACAACTTATCAAGGGAAACAGTATCACAAATTCATTTGGACTTAGATTTGGAACAAGGAAAAGAGATAGATAATAGAAATTCAGAAGGAAAATCAGAGATAGAAGCCATTAGGGAGAAACAGTGGAAATAGGTAAAGAAATAGAAGACTCGGGAGAAAATCTGAAAAGAATCAATCTAAGGAGAAAATCTCAAATTCAGAATTTCAAAATCTCAAATATTCATCCAAAACCTACTTGAAATTAAAATAACATTGGTATTTATAACTAAACCAACACAATAATAAAATGCATAATACGAATACAACCCTAAAACACTAATAATTAAAAAAAAGTAAAAGACTTTACTAATTAATGTAGAATAATCTAAATAAACTAAAATAGCCTAAATATATGTAGATTACAATCAAATCCGTAAAATATAAAAAAACATCTTAGATAACTTAATCTCTCAAATAGCATATTTCCATCCATTGGACAATTTTAAGGAATTGACAGGCATGACCAAACTAATTAAAGATACATCAACACAATCATCACTTATAAAAGGTTCACGAATCACTGGAAGTGGAATTAATACAATTCAGGTCTCCAAAGCTTTCAATCAATATGATTGAAGCTGAAGTGTATGAAAAAGAGAACTGATTCCCATTGAACGGACAGTTATGAGGCCAACCATATTTCAGAAATATTTGGAAAAGAAATATATATAAGAAGTCAATCATGTCCAATGCAGATTGACTCAATTAAATATTCAACCCCCGGTAGGTAAAGTTTAGTTAATTCAAGATGAAAGTAGCTCCTGCAACTAATTCTAAAACTCATAGAAGAATTGAGGTGGAGAGATAGAGTAACAGAGACACTTATAGATATAGCAAGGAAACAAAATTATTGGAAGTTTTTAGTACCATACCTTTTCTAGTGCTAGGGCAAGCTTTGAGAGATTTGGATAGATGCTTCTTGCAGTCAGCAGGATCTGTTGAGCATAGCATTCATGCCAAAAGAAAAGGTAAATTTTGGTAGTAGTCAAGAGCATAGCATTTATTAACAAATCAAAGAATAACTAGAGACCCAAACATTTTCTGAAAGTACATGGACAAAATTCAAAACCAAATGTATATGGAATCATGCACAAGAAGACAAATGTACTTTAATTGTTATTGGAAAGAAATGGAGGAAATGAAATGCAGAAGTATAAGATACCAAAAACACTTTATATGACCAATCTAACATGAAATTCGGGCTTGAAGATATAGTTTCAGACTATAATAATCACTGTATAAGGTTCTCTTAATCACTAACCTAAAACAGACAGATAACAAATGAAATAGGCACAGGCTTCTGCATAATTGTATGATTATTTAAGGCTTAATTTAGAACTTTAAAATTACAAGCCTCAAGTGGCTAATTCTAAAGCTTGATTTAAATACTTCAGAAAATTTTAAAAATAATAAAAAGTTGGAACAACAATAACAATCTTTAAAAATGAAAATAAATGCATAGTTACTATCACCAGAAAAATGGTTTTAAGAATATGGCCAAAAAAAGAGGGTTTTAATCTAACATCCTTCAACCTAGAACTTGTTAAAGCCAACATACGACCCTACTATTTATAAAACGGTTGAATGAAGAGAACCCTCGAAAAGTGTCAACTATTCAGTACCTTACATCATGTTGCACATTTGACGGTTTCAAAAATTCACTTTCCTTTGTTATGCAGTGTTATATCCTGAATTAATTTGCTTGAAACTTTGCTGTTACCTTATATTCAAGGCAAGCTTTTCTAAGTTTTAAATGGACTTTAATCGAAAATTAGTTTATATTATCAGGTACAGTGCATGTGAATATCTATATCTTAATTTATCTTTAAATAATATATAAATATAAATGTTTAATATGGCTACAATTTAGAAATATAATGAACAAAGAATTCCAAGCCAAGTAAATCATTTCCTAATGAAAGTGATTCAATTAAATTAGTAATCTTATCTATACACCAAATAAATCTTATTATTAATAATTTATAATGAGTAAATTACCTTTTGGATCACTTAACTTTTCAAGATTTTTTATTTTGGTCACCTAACTTTGAAAGATAACATTTGGTCATTGATGTTTATAAATGTTATTATTTTGGTCACTCAACTGTTAAAACAGACCTACCAGTTGGCATTCCACATCACCATACTTGTCATAAGGCACATTCACATTGAAAGCAACCGGAGCATCATCTTTCATAGTCGGGTGATGCAAATACAAAATGTTGAAAAGTTAGTGATCAAAATAAAAAATCTCAAAAAATTAAGTGAGCAATACATAATATATCTCATTTTCCCCTATTTGTGTATGTCTTTTACTATTACTATTATTATCAAATTTTATTGAATTTAAATTATTTTCTATACCATAAAATTAATTTTTTCGTCTCCACTTTTGTTTTTGTTTTCTTTTATTCTTCTATTTTCTTTTTCTCCTCTGTTTTTGTCCCTTTTCTTTACCAAGTATGTTAGTGGACTGATAAAGAGTACTTAATAAAAGAAAGAATCGAAACAGCAGGACATTTATTGCTCTTTTTAACAGCATTTATTCAATAAACATTCTAATCTACAAGTTATTAGAGAGAATTAAAAGCAAAAAAGAACTAAACTATGAGAGAATTTAGAGTAAATTACCTTTTTGATCACTTAATTTTTTGTGATTTTCTGTTTTGGTTACCCAACTATGACAGATAAAGTTTTGGTCACCTTCGACGTGAATATGCCACCTGGCAAGTTATGGTGATGTGGAATGTCAGATAGCAAATTTATCTTTTAATGGCTAAATAACCAAAACAACACTTATGAACATTGATGACTAAAATGTTATGTTTCAAAGTTAGGTGACCAAAAAGGTGATTTAGTTGTTTAGATTTATTGTTATAATTGAAAATTATAATAGAGGAAAATTATATAAATGACAATTTAGAAATAAGAGGAATAAAGATGTCCTTTTTTGTTAAGCAAAAGTTCTGTACACATATATCATAGATAACTCAAGTATGGAAACAATTGGCAAGATTCAATCAACACAATTAAAGCTAGAATCAAGATAGATCAGCTTGATTCAAGATAAGAAAGATAAAGCTAAAATTAATCTAGACTGATTGATGAAGGTACTCAATGCATATGTTCTTGCAATTCATGTACATAAGTCAGTCCTAAACTTGTGTAATCGGTCTTCGAAGACACATATATATGGTCAATGGGCCTTCTCTACTCACGTTGAAAGATAAAACACAAAACACAATCCTGTCACTCAATGCTTTATCACAGTGCTAGACTTTCAACTGGTATGTTGTCCTGTTTTTAAATTGTTGCCCTCAGGGAATTGATTCTATTCAACCTACACATAAGGAGCAGCAAGGTTAAAAAGGATTTGGTTTGGGAACCATTATGGTTTTATACCTGCATTTCACAGGGGGATTCCAAAGCTAAGCCTCCCTCATATCTCCACTTATTGCTAATCGAATCTAGTTGGTAGTTTTACACTATAGCCATACCCAAAAATTGATTTGTCTTAAATGCAAATAAACCAAAGAATCTGAATAATTACACTTACAGTAAAGTAAAATGAAAGTGGTCGATGAAGAGAATACAAACAACAACATGGAATTTTAGTAAAATTTATGGTATATAATGCAAAACAAAGTAATCACCTCACAGATTCTTTGAAGGGTAAACGGCGGGCCCTCATTAAAACTATGAAGCTCTGCAAACAGAAAAGACATTTGAATACAAGAACAAGATGAGACTACAAATCCTAAAAATCACAAACAAGAATTTCAATAATTGCTTCACATTATCAAAGTAGACTTTAAACACTACAATGAATACAAAAAAATCATCAAAAAAGCAACACACAAGATTCATCTCGGCTTTCCATCATGGTTTCTCCTTGTGCCACCTATAAATACAAATTTGCATGTTTGCTATTATCATTATTCTTCTTGAGTAGCAGATTTCTTTTATCCCTTACTTGTGGGGGAGGTAGGAATGCAGTATTATTGGCAGGAAAGAAGAACTGTTGAAAAGTCCTAGCAGTTAACACATGATGATCTAATACACGATAAAAAGTTAAAACAGCCCAAAGGCAAAAAAGGTTGTTTATAGGTTCTAACAGAAACACCATCTTCTTGCTTTCCTATTTTCAAAGAGGTAGTGAGAGAGAGCAAATTATTCTTCATTTAATCACCTATAGTCACGAATTTGGACTCTAGTGTAATCACCACATAAAGATCATTAAACTTCCATCCTTTATAACATTAGGTAATCCCCTCTAGAGTAGCCATCAAATACAGAGAAAATATAACATGCTTTTACAAGAAGAGCTCTTGCTATTTGCCTGCTGAAGAATTCAATGAGAAAAACATTTAAAAGTATCACATATCCCTATGAATATCATCTGTTGCTGTAGCAGCTCCTTCAAAAATCAACTTCAACATTGTCAACAAATTCACATGCAGCAACAAAAAACATGCAATCCACCCATAGCAAATGCCTGGGAAATTCTAGAGTTGTATAGCAGTAAACTAAAATTAACAAAGGAGAAGTAGAAAGCGGCCATTGGCAAGAATAAGGACACAGGAATGGGCTTTCTTAGGCACTTCTAGCATGATCCTCCCCTCCAGCACAAATAGAGTTGAAGAAAATTCATAGCCTATTGCAGCAGCTAAACTATGGTTGTAAGATTACCTTTGGACAATTACAAAAGCATACCGCAATTCTACAATTTTCCAACAAGGAAAGCACCTTTGGACATGAGCCTTTCTCAACCTATTATTCTAAAGTAACTTGGAGGACCAACAAGGGGCAAGATTACCTTATCCTTAATTACAGGTGCATGAATTATTTATCTAAAATAACAATAGACATTCAAAGTCAACTTCTTCACTCAAATGCTTAATTTCTATCATTACACCATCACTCTTGATGAGTGTTTGGCTTTTCAGCTCTTGCCAAATAGTAGCTGTTGCTGAAAACTAAAACAACGAAGTTAAACTGTGTGTAAGCCTTTGTGCCAGAGAGACAGAAAGGGCGAGAGTTGGGTTTCCCAATTTCCATCAAATAAGAGCTTTGGCTCAAAATGGGAATGAAAAAAATTCAATCACAACTTATTTAGTCAATGTGAGTGTGTGTGCGTGTGAGGTAGAGAGAGAGAGAGTTTCAAGTCTAGAATGCAATGCGGCATGACTGCTGGAGCTTGAAGGAGGAGAAGAGGTGCAATAAAGTGCTCATGCGGATACTTTCCTAATTGAAAAGTGGCATCCTACAGCCGTTGCAGCATTATTGTCCTTTAGAGCAATATTTCAGCTTCCAATTGTAGATCATTGCACTTCCCATAGAATCTTGCACCTTTGGTTTTATTTACAGCCATCTTCATTGTGCAAAATCTCTAGAAAACTTTATTAACCTAGAGAGGAGAGTCATGGCTGATAAGTGCTCCAAATATATGATAGAAATGCTTCAACTTTACTTTTGATAGTAGTTCACTTTTTGTAATAAGAAGTTTCATACGATGATCTATTTTTTCAACCACTGGAACAATATCTAGCGTTATAGAGTTAATTTGAATCTTCCAAAAATCTTTTCAAACTTTGAGGTCGATAGCAAGAAACGTATCCTATCATTTAACTAGAATGGCCTGGCTAGTGTTTCTTAACCTTTAGAATACTTGCTCCATCTTTCAGAACTACTAGTCAATGGCTGATGTATATTGAACTAAACGTGACAAATGTGAGGGAAACTAATACATAAATGAATTACAAACAATTCTTATGAAAAATGAAAAGAATTGAAAAGCCAACCCAACTTCTTTCCATTTCCTTTCTTCCTCTTTCTGTCCCTTTGAGCTATCTCTTTCCTACTATCCTCACCACGTAAATAACTTCATAAGTAGTCTACTATCAAATTTATATCATAAAATCAATAGTAGCACCAAAAGATCAAGATATCCAAATGGGTTAATAACACATTTGGTACACGCGTTGTAGTCAAATGTTCCATTTGATACCGAAAGTTTAAAATGTGCAATTATGCACTCTACTTGTCACACCGCATGTCACAAGATTCAATCCCTTTTTGAAACCCTCAATGCACTCACTCTCATGAATTATATTGCTAATTTCAAACATAATAGCATTGTGCCAAACGTTGACACAGCAAGTTAAAGTGGGAATAAAGGCTAACACCTTACTATGTCTTTGGGTTAATAACCAAGCTTCAAATATTGTAACTTTAAACTCAACTTTGAGAGAAAAACATAGTAATATTATTTGGTGATTCTAAAAACTCAATTTAAGGGTCCTATTTATAACATTATAGCCCTAAATCTTAGTAAAACTATATTTCTGGTTGTCTAGTACAATTAGAGTAATTAACAAAAGATTTAATTCCTAACTAGAACATCTCTATCCTAAAGTCCTAATACAAGTAAATTAAATAAAAGAGAAATTCTATTATGCTTGTAATTCATGTGTAGACTCCCAACTAACAAAGAAAATATTAAAATTATGAATATGCCCATTTATGATTTTTGGACTTTTCATTTTGACTTTTGATGCTCAGCCTGCTCCAAGAAAATTATCTGCTAGATGTTCTACGTCAGTCCCATCCTCTTGAGAAAAACTCAATCTCGAGTTAACTTGTATATCTAGATGCAAGGGTTCATTTGATAAACAAAATGAGTAAATATCCAAAACGTTGAATGTTTTGAAAATTTCCATTGTCTGACAAATCCACAACATATGCATTGTCATTGATCTTCTTCAAAATCTAGTATGCTCTGTACTACTTAGATTGTAACTTACTATAAGTCTCTACTGGAAACTTTCCTTTTAGCAAAAACACCAGCACCTGATCTCCCACTTCAAATATCTGCTTTTTGGGTGTAGATCTACAGCTTTCTTGTACTTGGCATTAGCTTGCTCTAATTTTTGTTTCATCTCTACTTGAACATCTTGCAACTGATTATCCATATTTTCCGCAACTACATTAAATGCAAGAACTTTAGGCAACTCAACCATGTCAAGAGCATACTGTGGTAACTTTGTGTACACAATAAAAAATGGAGATTTCCTTTTGGCACTATGAACAGCACTATTGTAAGCAATCTCTGCTTGTGTCAATATGAAATCCCATTGCTTTGGTCTATCACCACAAATACTGCGAATCAAATTGCCAAGAGTTACTGTCTACTGTAATTCAAGGATGAATCAAGCATCTTTCATAAAGTCCTCCAAAATTGACCAAAAAACTTACTGTCTAAATCTGAAGTGATGGTTTTACGCGCACCATGTAGACAAACAACCTCCTTGAAAAACATTTTGGCTATTCCACTTGCATCTAAAGTCTTCTTGCAAAGGATAAAGTGCACCATTTTATAAAACCTATCTACAATAACAAAAACAGAATCTATGCCCTTTTTCATTCAAGGCAAACCAAGAACAAAATCCATAGATAAATCCTCTCAAATATTTTTTGGAACAGGTAAAGGCATGTACAAACTAGTATTTTGGAACTCTCTTTGCGGTTTGACATATGTAACATCGTTGCACAAATCTTGTTACATCTATTTTCAGATGTGGCCAATAATATCTTTCTTCAACAACAGCAATCGTTTTATCATGACATAAATGACTAGCAAGACCTCCACTATGCAAGTCTCTAATCAACTTCTCTCAATAAAAATCTAGGAATGCAAAGTTCGTTGCCGCGCATTGAAAAACCATCATGAACGTAAAATCCTCAACAGGTTAATTTGTGATACATTTTTCCATGGATCAAGAAAATCCTCATCTGTATGATATAATTCATTGACTATATCAAAACCCACAACTTTGTCTCATTATCACCAACAGATCTGCACGTTTACTCAATGCATCTGTTACTTTATTCCGTACCCCAACCTTGTGCTTTAACTTAAAAGGAAACTTCTGCACAAAATAAAACCACCTACCATGTATGTCTATATTGATCCATTTCTAACTATTTAAGTACTTCAATGCCTCATGATCTGAGTACAAAACAAATTCTCGCCAACCAAGTAATGCTCCCAATTCTTCAAAGTACGCAAAATAGAATAAAATTCTTTGTCATATGTGGTCCACTTGCACCTTGAATCACTGAGCTTCTCATTGAAAAAAACTATTAGTTTCTTTTTTTGTGAAAGAACAGCTCTTATTCCCACACCACTAGCATCACATTTGGTAATGCTAAAATAGGAGCAGTACATAGCTTTTTCTTTAGCACAGCAAAACTGGTTGCAGCTTATTCTCTTCATTGAAATTTCCCCTTCTTCAGGCACTTTGTAATAGGTGCTGCAACATTACTGAAATTTCTGATAAAATGTCTATAGAATGTTGCCAACCCACGAAAACTTTTGACTTCTGTTATTATTTTTAGGGTAAGCCATTCTCTAATAGCTCCAATCTTCTCTACATCTACCTGAATTCCATCTACACTAACTACATAGATTATGAATAATAGCTTATTTGTGATAAAGCAACACTTCGTCAAGTTCACATGACTTATTTTTCTGTAAAACTGTCAATACTTCGCACAAGTGCAAAAAGTGCTTTTCCAATCTACTATAAATCAAGATATCATCAACATAAACTACCACAAATATTTCAATAAAAGATTTCAATACCGGATTCATCAATCGCATAATAGTACTAGGCAAGTTGGTCAACCAAATGCCATCACGAGCCACTCACACAACCCTTCCTTTGTTTTAAAATCTATTTTTCACTCATCCCCAAGTCTAATTCGAATCTGATGATACCCACTACGAAGATCAACTTTTGTAAACATCTTAACCCCATGTAACCTATCAAGTATATCATCTAGCCTGGGAATTGGGAACTTGTATCCAATGGTAATTCAGTTGATAGCTTGGCTATCCACACACATCTTCCAACTCCCATTTTTTGTTTTGGGGTTAATAAAACAAGAACTGCACATGGACTCAATACACTCTCGGATATGTCTTTGCACAATAATTTCTCCACTTTCAACTTGAGAATCTCACTCTCCTTCGGACTCATCCTATGATAAGGCAAGTTTGACAAACTAGCACCAAGAATTAAGTCAATATGGTGCTTAATATCTCTTATCGGTGGTAAACCATCAAGTAAATCTTCTAACATCACCGCATTGAATTCTGCTAGTAACGGTTTGATTGCTTTTGGATGCACTACTATTTTCTGATTCTTTTCAATTACCAACACCCATTTCACAATCAAAGTGTATACCTTTTTTGACTCCTTGAAACCAATCTCTATCTCATTCTCCAAGTAAACTTTACGTCATCTTTTTCTAATTTATAGGTGTTTTCTCTTCCATCATTTACCAAATAACAGGTGACAAGCATTTATATCCATAATATCAAAATATACCTCATTTTTGTATTTACCAATAAAAAAAGACACCTTACACCATTCTGTTACATGAATCTTCCCTGCTGCCTTAATCCAACCAATAATGTATGAATTAGAGTGTTTCTCTACTTTAAATCTCAAACTTTCCACAACATCCTTACCGATAATATTTTCACAACTACCACTAAATAATCACGTCAAATAAACGATCAATAATGATGCACCTAGTTTGAGATAATTAATGTCGTTGAGTATTATCCTCTTGTTTTGAGGGCATCATTCTTCTCACCACAGTTCTGGCCATCATCATCATCCTCATACTCATCATTATCCTCACCTGGACCACAGCATATCTCATCATCTTCTTTTTCTTGTTCCACCACATGAATTGCTTTTTTGAGAGGGCAGTCACTAGATTTATGACCATATTGATTGCATTTGAAATACTTAAATTTAGTTTAGCATAGGGATTTGCAGCTTTGTGCCCTTTTGCATCTGTCACTTTTTGCTTTCCAATTGCCTTCTCTTCCTTGCACCAGTCATTGCGTGCAGAACTACCATGAACTAATTTATTCTTGTCGTTAAATGCTCTATAATTATCCCTGTTGTAACTCTTACGAGAATAATTAAGTCTGTTCTTTTCCCACAACATCAGTTCAGCCTTTAAGGTAATATTTTGTGCTTCAGGTATTCGTAATACCTGTACCCCTATCTTGTCTCTGATAACTGACTTCAACCCTTCTCGATACCTAGCAACCTGTTGCCTTTCAATTTCCCTTAAGTCATTGCACTCTGCTAGTCTCATAAATTCTACAGTATATTTATGTATAGTTTCCTTACCTCGATGACACCTCTGGTTTTGCTGGAATAAATTATGCTCATAATCAGGACAAAAAAATCTTTTTGTAACAACTGCTTCATCTTATACCAAGTTCTAATTGGTGCTTTCGCTCACGATTCCTTCTAGATTACAACCTTTCCCACCATGCAAAAGCCCCACCTTTCAATCTACAAGCAACAAGTCTTACCCTTTTCTTTCTGAAATTTCTATACATTCAAAAAACCTATTTCTAAAATTCAATCAAAAAAAATCTTCAATATTCAGACTTCCACTAAAGCAAGGAATATCTACCTTTAATCTGAAATCGCGAGAATCTCTATTACCATAATCATTTCTTCCATATCCAGCATATCTTTCTGCAACATAATCATCTTCCTCTTCAGAATCTTTCATGTGGACCTATTGTTTATACCCGGTTGCAGGAAAAGATCTGCAAATAGGTTGCCCGCAAGCTACATCATCTCTGATACGGGACCTCTTCTCATTCTGGTTTCTGTTGGCATCTACACCTAGAGCATCAAGTCGATCTACAATTTCTTCAAAGTGTCATTCCAAACGCTGGAATCTACAATTCATTTGTTGCTTCAAAGCCCTCAATGCCACCCCTTGATCTTACACTGCAAATCACAAGGTCTCAGTTTCCCGATCTTCACCATGAGAACCGTTGCGTACCATAACTTGGTCACTTGCCATTAGATTGGATGATTTTTCCGGCTCTGATACCAACTGACGCAACGAGTTAACGTGAAAATAAAGGGTAACACCTGACTATGCCTTCAAGGTTAACAATCAAGTTTCAAATATTGAAACCTTAAACTAAAATTTTGGAGAAAACTTAGTAATATTATTTGATGATCCTAAAAACTAAACCTAAAGATCCTATTTATAACATTATAGGCCTAAATCCTAGTACTAGAGTAGTTAACAAGAGATTTAATTCTTAACTAGAACATCCCTATCCCAAAGTCCTAGTACAAGTAAATTAAATAAAAGAGAAATTCTATTATATCAGTAATTCCCATATAGACTCCTAACAAAGAAGGAAAATATTAAAATTATGAGCATACCTATTTATGACTTTTGAGCTTTTCGATATACTTTTAGAAGCTCAACTTGCTCTAAGAAATTATCTGCTAGACGTTCTATGTCAAACATGAAGCAACTGCCCAATGTTCAAAATCATTACTTAACAATAATTAACCTTATCAAACCAAATGCTAATGTTACAATCCTTGTGTACAATTGAAGCATCATCACGTATTTGGTTGATTTGGTAGCCTTAACGGAGGATTTCCATAAAGATTTTTTTTTTGTGCAAGTATTTAGCATTTTGATTGGGGTGTCTTATCTTTCGTTTTTCACAAATGATATATTTCTGTTTGAATTAAAGAAAAAGGGATGCAAGGTTTGGCTTGTGTTTGTTTTAGCAAGGAAGCTTCTGTTTGGTTTTGCAGAAACTTTAAATCTTGGCTGATGTTTTCTTTCTTTTGTTAATTTTATTTTCAGTTACTTTTCTTCATTTTTTTTGTTTAATTTTTTTTTAATTGAGGGAAGAGGGATTCAAACCCTGCTTGTTGGACAAAAAGGTCATGCAACAACTAATGACCCAAATGCTTAGGTGTAATTACTACTATTATAATTACACAAGAAACTGCCACATGAATTGACATGTAACTACTACCATTATCATGTCTATTGGATGAGGCAGACAAGGTAAGATTTAACATCTTAAGCAACTAAAGACAACCTAAAGGAATTCATTCTAACTTTTTGAAAAGATTATTTTATTGTTAAAATCGGAATTGTGGAGGATATTTTAATTACGAGTGTTAAACTCTAACGAGGATTTGTGGAATTTTGCAAAAAAATATGTGAAAAGCTCTCCTACAAAAATTGACTCAACCACAGCATTTGTATCATATATTGAAATTACATAGCATCACTCTTCCAGTCCAATTGCAAGTAAAAATGAAAAAGAACAAAAGAAAGCTTCCGTAAATCAAAAAAAAATGAAAAGAAAAATATAAAAAAGTATTCCGAAATGCTAAGCTTTGAACACTAAACCATGTCTTGAATCACATGCCATTGCCAAGTTAGCTAATAATCACAAAGCTTAAGGAGACCCAACCATTGAATGTTGCATTCACAAATCTCAAACACACCGAAAAAGTAATAGCTAATGAGGCATTGTCTCAATGGGGAGGTGGCCGTAGTCCTTTAGAACAAAAGTTCCAAGTTTTTTTTTTTTTCAAAGGCATTCATGATTCATAAATCACATTACAACCCCACTTGTACAATCTAAGAATGTCCTCCACAAAAAAAGGCAAAAGGATTATTGCTGCTTTCTTGTCTGCATCCAAGCTCAAGTAAAAGAGCAATAGCCAGACTTGAGCATAGATTCATGTCCTACTAGTGTGCTTACACAACCCTCTTAATCAACTTTCATGAGTTTATTTTTCCTCCTAAGATCATGTGGAGGCTTTAATATAGCAATTTTACTCATATTTGGGATGGATAAAAAAAACATGATCCAGAAAGTACCTTCATCTAGTCGCTTCACCAGATCTGAGTAAGTTTCGCCCAATGAAGCATTTTGTTGATCAGTTGTCATCTTTGCCTCAGGATACTCTGATAAAACCTTTGTGATAAATTACAGAAAGAAATAGGGATCATATCTAGGTAAGTTACTACAGAAAAATCTAAACAATTATATCTAACTATAAAAGAGATTAGAGACCAAGAAAATATACCAGCTTCAGCTGAAAGGACAGCATGCTCTTCAGCTTATCCCAATTATGCCTGTAGTTAAATACAAAAAAAAAAAGAATAAGCAGTAAATATATCTTTTCAAACATTAAAATTAGCATTTTTTCTTTTTTATATTCCCAAAACACCTATAAACAAGAAAGAAAGCCTTTCAAAATATACAATGCATAAAACTATGGGAAGCATCAGTTTTGCATGGACAGCATTTTGGACACGTTAACTGACAGACAACATCATGCTATCAAAAATCTGCCAAAGCTAAATGATTGGAAGTAAAATTAAATTTAGATGTTGGCAAAATTTTAAGACACCAACTACCAATGTCAAACATCATATAAGTTTACATCAAGAAAATCTGATTGAATTAGAAATTAACTTAATGCTAGATATATTTTTATTTCATTTTCAGAACCCCCTTGCCGCATATTTAAACATCTTACCATATAGCACAAGACATTGCATAGCTAAAACAACTTCATTTTTACAATATGCTAGGGGTATCAATGTGTAATCAGGAAATGTAAGTGAATTTGAGACAGCAGCAAATATTACGTAGATATTGCAGCCAGCAAAAGTAGCAACAAAAAACATTATGGCCGTCGCTGGAGCAGTGGTGACAGCATAGAATTGTGGCAACAATAGCAATTCAAAAAGCAACAGCAGTATAGGGGCAGCAATGGCTAGGGCAACACTGCATGTATCACATAGTTGGCATGTGATGCCACTTAAATAGTAAAAAGAAGATCCTGACATTGTTGCTTTACTTGTGGTTAAAAAATGGTCAAAACACAGAAGGTTGAAGCTTTCAATCAGGATCATGGAAAAAAAATTGTAACAATTGAGAGGTGATGCAGGTTAACCAGAAGCCAAAGTGCTGTTCAAGATGGAGATATAACTAAGGCAAAACAATAAGGCAACTCAAAATCATTGAGTGGTTGGAGATATAACTAAAAAAATCAGGATACAAATTCTAGATTTTGAAGGTTGATTTTACAGTATTTTCCGATTGACTCGATTCTAATGAAGACTATTTTTATTGCTTGCTCATAGCTTAAGATTTTCCAAGAGGAAGCTTGCCAGGTTGGTAAAAATATGGTGGCATGGTGTACAGTGAAACTAACAAGGCTAGATAGCCACAAAAACTTAGTGTATGAACTGAGATGAAAGTGAAATTAAAAGAAAACTTTGTCACCTTATCTTTACAAAATGCATGAGAAGCCCTTACTTTGAAGTGCCCAGCAGGTCAGCAGCTTAGTATAGGCAAAGATTTGATGAGCTACTGATTAGAAGTGAGTTTGTGTAATATGCCAAAGTAGCAACGGCCTTATTTAAAGTTGGCATAAGAGCTGAAATCAATAGAGTTGCTTAGACAGCCCCATCTACAATAAGTAATGATGCATTCCAAGCAGCACTCAGTGTGGAGAAATACTTAAGCTACACAAAAACTCAGAAAGTCTTGCTTCAAGCCATGGAAATATCAACAAAGGGTTTACTAGTGCAAATCACAGCACAAAGTCAGCCTCTTTTCAGTCCTTTAATCGATCTAACGAGAAGCTTCTTCTTTCTTTACGGTTCCCTTGCTTCAAGTGTAAAGAAATTGGACACATGGGCGACCAATGTGTGAGAAAAAGTAACTTGCTTGTGGGAATAGATCACAAGGACAAAGAAACAAAAAAAATGATTAACAAAAAATATTCATTTGGTTGTGGGAACTTCTCCTTTGTTCATTGTTCAATGCTCTCTTGCATCTCCTAAAATTGAAAAACAAGGCAGCTGGGGCTTCAATATTCAAAACTTTGATTTATCGTGTTTATCAAGCTAAAAGACTTATCATTTAGGTGTAAGTTGCATGAAAGTTGTTTCAGCATCCATAGTAGATGGCCCCAAGTTTCGAATTTAACCTCAACCTCAACCACTAAAGGTGGCATGGATAACCGACACTTCCAGTAAACCAAGAATGTCTTGTTTTTAAGTTTTGGTGCTTCCCGTGATTCCATACTATGTGATATCATTCATCTGCAAGGGGCACATATCCTTCTTGGTCAACCTTAGCTTTTATGATGAAGGTGTAAAAAGTAAGTGGAGATAAAATACACTTTTTACATTGGCAACAACATGAGGCCAATGACTTTCACTTTTTTTCAAGAAATACGAAGAAAAATAGAAACCCAAACCAGTTATTGTTACTGAAAATAAGATGATGCACATATCACGGGAGTTACCAAATGAGCTACTTTTGCGCAATATTTAACAAATCATTGATCTCATATCGAGGTCACAATTATCTAATCTTCCTGACCATCGCATGAATCCTAGCAACATAAAACTTAAAAGAGGCAAGTAGATAGGCTGTTTTCCAAGGGTTTACTTGTAAAAGTTTTGAGTCCACATGTTGTTCTAGCTTTACTTGCACCAAAGGAACATGATGCTAGTCATCAGTGTGGACAACCAAGCTATTAACAAGATTGCTATCAAGTACAGATTTCCTATTCCTTGTCTAGAGGACATGTTAACCTTTTATGGCTAGTTCCATCATCTTTTGCAAGAGAGATTTGAACAGCAGCGGCCATCAAGTATGTATCATGCTTAGAGATGACTGAAAGACTGATTTAAAAATCAAGGACGACCTCTGTGTACAGAGTGGCAAACCCCTACTACCTTGCACGAATTACCAAGTTTTCATGGATTGATAACATTCTATAGATGTTTCATTAGAAATTTCAGTACAAAAATTACACCTATCACTAAAAGCAGGAAGAAAGAGCACTTTAACGGACAGGCAGCATCTAAAGCTTTTGAAGAAATCAAGATAAAGATACCAAAGCACCAATTGCTTGTAGCCATAATCAGAAATCAGAATTGGTCGAGTTTTTAGACAGGAAGACCATCCTATTGCTTGTTTACGTAAGAAGGTAGATGAAGCAAAGCAAACATATTCAACTTAGCAAAAGGAATTCTAATGCAGAGATTCAAACCCTAGAACCCTTGTGATACGACATTTTCTCACATAACACCCTTAGGTTCTTTTTACCGCAAATAAAAACTTGTATTTCACTACTGTTCCCACAAGGGGTATCAATATAAGACCCTTATATTTAAAAGCCTTATATTTTACATTTGAGCCTCAAATTCCCAATTTCAATATTTTATGATTTATGAAGTAGACATTAAAACAAAATACGGTCTATAATGTCAATATGCAACAACGTCAAACCTATTAATTCAAAATAAAAAACACTGTCAACACTCTAAGCACAAGAACATAGATACCATTTGCAATAAAATACATTTGACATAAAGGAAAATTCATGAAAATTGCAGAAAGCTGCAAACCTCATTTTCTTCATATCACTTCTGCCTACAAAAAAATTTTACTCATCTTAGAGCAAATCCGAATCCCTTTATTCTTTTTTCTTTATGTAAAAAGACTTGAATCCCTATTAATTTTAAAAAAGGCTACTTTTTGATTTAGGACAATAAAATCTTCCTGGCAGCTGTCAGGTTACTAGAAGAGCAAGCTTCCTAATGGCAAAAGTGAAATAGACCTTGAAAATTTTTCTCTGACATGGACTGTATGCTGCAAACTTATTCTTTTTCGACAATAAACTTCAGTTTTTTGTTAATTTCTGACATCATTTAGTTGGTTCTTTAATGGGATAGCCTCAATTATCTTTACTATAATAACATAATACCAGTAACATAATAAGCTCACACTATTTGTCAAAATACCAGTGTCATGCATTAGCATAGCCTCAATTATCTTTAATAAAATAACATAATGCAAAAACGTGTCTGTTAAAATTACCAAAGTAGCATATGGTTTTAGTGAAACTTACACCAAATGGTCATCAAATTGAAAGAAGATTTTAAATCTGAATTTAAAACTGTGAGTTTAGAAATAAAAATATATTACTAAACTATAAAGATATTACTGATATTTTAAAAAAGGCTCCTTTAAACTGCCACTTTTTACTCAATCAAATGGCATCTAATTTTGCAAAGGTACATAAATACATACTACTGTATATGTTATTGAGAAGAAGAATTTGGGAATTTAGGGCTCAAATGTAAAAAATAAGACCTTTAAATATTAGGGTCTTATCGTCTTTCTAGTGGAAATTAAGGGTCTTTATCTTTTTAGTGAAAATTTAAAACTGTTACCCCCTATAGGAACAATAGTAAAACACAAGGTTTTGTTTGGGAAAAAAGAACCTCTGGGTGTTATGTGAGAAAATATCATACCACAAGAGGTCTATGAGGAGTTTACCCTAGATTTTATTCACCTAAATAGAAGAGGCATGTTGGTAGGATTCTTGTTGGTCTACATATGTCATTACCAATACCACATAAACATGGAAGGATCTAAGTATTGATTTTAATCTTAGATTAAGTAAGACTTTAAGGGATCATGATTCTTAGTGGCGGTAGACTTAATCTATGCTGGCTCAATTTATTCCTCGTTCAGAGACACCTGATGCTCTACATGTTGATATGCTTTTTGTAATGCAGTGGTTCAACTTCTTGTACTTCCAAGTCTATGTTACAGATGGTGATGTGAAGCTTATGAATGTAGGCAATCTTTGCGGAGAATGTTGACCACAAAACTAAAAGTTTCTACATCTTTCCTTCCCTTAAAATAATGGCAAAACCAAAAAGTTTTTAATAGAAGTTTAGGTAATGTAGAGCATTGTTCTGATACTAATTGGGAGGGATAAAATAACTTAGAGATTTAACTAGTTTTCGCTGCTTTTCTTAGTTACCCATATATCAGAGAATTGCCATTAACCTTGAGGACCTAGTTGGTAATACCAAATTCATATGTAAATATAAATAAACAGAGTTAACAACAAATTCATACCAAAAGAAAAAGAAGAAATGTCATACCAAAAATTTCCAGTAGATGAAACAACTTGCAATATGCCCCTAACTTGTTCTTCTTCTTGAGCAATCTCAAGGTTGGAGTCCATGCTTCTAAAATCACAAGAAAATATGATCAGCCCTGCTAGCGGAGGAATTAACAAAATCAATCAACAAAAGAGCTTAAATTTCACCCATGATTTAAGACATGCTCTTGGTCAGTAGCAATGGAAGAATTTTCTTTGAGCGCCGACGCCTCCATTCCTGCTAACGGCTAAACCAAATCCAAACTCAGAAATTCCAAAAGGCCTTTCAACTCTACTCTATTTAATGTCGTTGATCAAGGATGAAGCAAAAGAAAACTCCAAAACCCAATGCTATGACTCGCTTCCCCCTCCTTATCTAGGTTCCACCCATTTATGCCCCTCAATGCCCCTTCTCTGGTCTACATTTTTTCTCAACTACAAAAAGGATCACTCAAGATAGCAGAGGACATGAAATATCCACGAGAAAAACTCAAAAAAAAAATGATAGTGGATGTACCTTAACGAGGCCAAGAAAGTACCAAAATGCTTAAACAAATGTTTAAATTTATAAAAATGACAGTGGATGTACCTTGGGAAGAAATGAGAACAATATGGATTAAGCCTCTAATTAAATGTAGACAGATGTATGGGTCAAAGTGAGAACAAGCCGCCAAGGAGCTGGATTAGGGAAATCCTTCCTGATCTAAGAGGATTTAGCGTTTCCTGAAACGGTTTCAGTTTTTGGAGACAAAATTAGGGTTTATTGAGTGAATGTTATGTGTAGACACCATTTTAATTTTTATTATGATTTTTATTTGTTTTATTTATTTACTTTTATTTTGCATATATTTTCTTTTTTATTTATTTTATAAGTTTTTTTAAAACTTGTATTGGGCCTTGGTATGTTCTGTAGGTTCTAATTTCTAAACCCATAATTAAAGTCTCTCTAATGACCCAAAAACAAGTTTAACTAATTAATTCAATCTAAAAATAGATCAAACAGCAGAATTAAACAAAACTAAGTTAGAATTAAAATAAACATGAAGAACATTCTAAAATAAAAAATTGAAAGGCAGTTGGCCCTATAGAGGATCAAAATAACCGTACTATGATAAGAAAAAAAGGCCTTCTACGAGAAGAGAGAAATCTTACTAGGAAGAGGCCAAAATCAAAAGAATCCAATGGCACCCACTGCTTGAATAGCAGAATAAATAATAAACAGTAATGAAAAAGAACCCTAGAGGCAAAATCAGAAAAACCCTAAAAAAAATCTTTTCTTTTCTTTTTGAAAACTAAAGAACCAAAAACCCTAGATTTACTAATTTACTAGCAGCTGAAAAACCAAAATCAAAACAAAAAAAAAGAGAAAAAAATAACCCTAAGAATCTGAAGCTGGGAGAGGCAAGGGGATTTTTTTTTTTGTTCTTTCTCTCTTTTGTGGAATTTTTACAAAGTTTGAGCCTTAATTTTGGGTTTTAGAAGAAATAGAGCAGAGTCGTCGCTTGAGAGATTGAAAAGGACGAGTTTGAAGGTTGGGGCTAGGGTTTGCAAGAAAAAGGAAAAGATTTTTAGAGAGAAGGGAAAGTGTCCGCCGCTAAAAGAGAAAATAAGAGAGGAAAGACAAATAACTTTTATATCTAGGTTCCAACCGAAGAGAAAAGGAAAGAAACGACGTCATTTTTGGTAGCTTGGAAAGCCCTTCTCCATTGCATCAAGCGGCGCCGTTTTGGAATTTAGGAGCTACCGTGCAAAGCACTGGACGGTGCATTTTAGAGCAGGCAGTGGGACTCTATTTGATTTGGTTGGTTCATTCGATTCAAGTACAACTTGCATAGTCCTAGTAGTATGTATTATAATCCAAGGTCAACTCAATATTCAACAAGAAAAAAAGTGAGAAAAAACCTACTCTATTTTTTTCTCCAACTTAGTATTTCTTTTTATTTTGCTATTTCAGGGAAAGGCAAAAAGAAAAAAAGGAAAATGACATACCAACGAGGTAAGTGAAGTGGTGGAATTGGGTATTAGGGGTAGGGGTTTTCCGCTTTCTAATTTGGATCCAAGTGCGAAGAAGGAAGAAGAAAAGCGAGCAGCGGAACGGACAAACGGGAAGAGAGAAAATGGGTTGGATCGGAGACACCGTAGACTCCTTCAAATCAATCCAGATCCGCCAGCTCCTCACCCAGGCCGTCAGTCTTGGTAAGTTTTATAACTCTAGTCTAGAATATGTTGCCGGAAATGTCACAAATCCCTTTCCTTTTCAGTCTAACTTTGTTTGTTTTGAAATGACACGAACTTTTAATCTTTTGGGAAACCCAAGCCAAATTGTGTTACCCTTTTAAGAATTGAAAAACATTGTTTGATATTTCTTTCAGATAGATCCGGACTTTAGTGGGTCATTGGAGTTGTCTATTAATTTACTGGAAGTTAAGTTGACTCTTCTTGACTTTCAATCTTAAGACAAGAAAAAAAAAACTTTTTTTTCTTCCTTTTTAACTCATTTTGATTCCAAATGTTTTGAATTTGGGTGAAGATTAAGAACTGGAGATCAAGGTATTGACAATAAGTTCAGATTTTGAGACAAGCATAGCTCTCTTTTAACTCGTTTATTTTGATCAAAGCTGAAATAAACTCTGTATAAGTGTATCATCTATCTATGCGTGTCTTTTGAGTTCCTTTGATGTTTCGTGGGAACTTTAAACTGCATGCTTGTTGTAGTATGATGTTAGGGCATGTGTGGGATTTTCAAATCAACAAATTTGATTTGAAAGGTTGTCATTATTTATTCCACGTGTGGAAATTTGATTATACAGAAAGCCTATCTGTTTCAGGTATGATTGTTACATCAGCCCTCATAATATGGAAGGCGTTGATGTGCATCACTGGCAGTGAATCTCCTGTTGTTGTTGTCCTATCTGGAAGTATGGAACCTGGCTTCAAGAGGGTAAGTGAACTTAAGAGGTGAATGCTTAAATGATTTTGTTGTGTCTTGCCATCTTAAGTGTAACCTAATCCCATTCACCATCGTGCACTACTCTGCTTCTGCAAGCAAATGCAATCTGAATGGTCCTCCAGAATATTTGAGAATATATATAGGAAGCCTCTTTTCTGACCTTGTCTTGAAACAGGCCACCAAATTTTAAACTATGATTGATGTCCTATTCTTCCATGTATTAGGATTTGTTTTCTTTTAAAGCTCTGTTGTCCTTCTTGCCACTTTTGAAGTTATGCTACTGAGAGTTTGCACCCATAATATTTTTCTTTATGGACCACTCATTCAGAAGGAAACATGTCCTTTAGATTAGCATCTCTGGTGTTCCACTTAAAAGTTGCTATCTTCACATTTGGAGAAGTTCAGATTATACTCAGTTCTCTAAGAAAGAAACATATAGAAGTTTGAGAATGAAATTTTATGGCTTTGAATTTCTAACTTTACAAACAAAGGATAGAGAGGTTGCCGACTCTGGCATCTTACATCTTATAACTGTACTTATTTTTTTTCTAGAACATATTCTGAACTGTGTATGTTTTGTAACTTAAAGCTTTAAGTAGAAACATGCATTGCTTCTGTTTACTTAGAGCTATTTTGCCTTGAAACCAATATCAGCTTTTGGCTTTTTTCGTATGCTGCCATTGTCATGGCAATGTCTGTCCATTCCCTGCTTTATCTGACATAAAATTAGGGTAAAGTAAAGTGATGTTATTTCTTGGATGATGGAAAATGCAGTGTGCTAGTTATTTTTAGCAATCTGCCCGGTAATCATGTTGTTTTAATTTGATGTGTGACTTGCTTTGGATGTGTAATAAGATCACAATGAAAGTTATTTTGTTAGACACTTCCATGAACCTACTTGACATGTTTGATTATCGTTGTTCATTTGGATTGTTATGTATGTAGATGTTGCTAAATTAATGAGGATTATATCATATGCAGGGGGATATTTTGTTCTTGCACATGAGTAAAGATCCTATCCGGGCAGGCGAGATTGTTGTTTTTAATGTTGATGTAAGTGCCTTTTGTTTTTAATTTTATTTGGTTCACTTATGTTTTGTTTTTTTCATTGTTGATGGGCTTGTTTTTGCCCCCGTGCTCTTTTGCTGATTCATTTCTCAAACTGTGAATTTCTCAGGGTCGTGAAATTCCAATTGTCCATCGTGTAATTAAGGTAAACATTTGAATTTAGTATCCCACATGTTTTATTGATCTTAGACTAAGATGTATGTATTACAACTAAGACAAGTAATGTTCGATTTTGAAGCATTGCTGTTACCATCTCATATCTGTATTCATGCATCTTAGCAACCACAATTTTCACTTGCCATTGAATAGGAGCACCAAATCAATTGATTTAATTTTCTAATTTGGTGTCCCTTTCCCTGCCTTGTATGCCTATTGAACATATTTTTCCATGTAAGATTCAATGGGTGAGGAACATATATTTGCTCAAGCAAATGGTACATGATTGACCAATTGATTAGTAATAGATGCTGGATGACTGGTTTTTTTTGCTGACAATATCGCCTGAGGTAATGACTTAGGAAGCAATTTTTCATTGGTAATACATAAAAGGACACAGACAAGAAGTAAGCATTGACAACCAAACTTCTACCTGCTTTCTAGTTTCAGCTGTTAATTAATGTCCAAATTGTCAGGAGGGCTGTGTTAGAAAAATAATAATAATTTGAGATCACATGTTCTTTATGCAAGTGTAAAATTGCAGCAAATGTAATTCAACTTTGAAAAAATGATGATTTCTTGAATGATGATATTAATCATATTGCATCAATGTATGCCAATCTGAACTCATTGTGTTTGTTTTTGAGCTGTTATTTGTTTGTTTGTATCTTTCTCAGTTTCTCTGTTTATTTATCTGGGATTCATATCTTTTTGAAAATTTTGTGAGCTTTATTAATTTTTCTTGTTTCCTTCATGGAATTGTATGATTTTTCCAACTTTATTAGTTATGATCATTAAGATGCAATTGCTCTTAAATTCACATTTTTATTTTGTAGAATTATGTTTTGTCAAAATTATCATGGTTTGAAATTTTTCTTGCAATTATAGCCTGCCACACTTGTGTATTAAAGCATTACTTAGGGTTAATGCTTCCTTGTGGATCTTCACAATGGAACTAGGTGTTGGACATAATGACCTTTCTTGACTCTTATGACCTAGTTGTTTCTTGGGACTTTAGTTTTCTTCAAACTGTTTTATGCCTGACAAAGTTCCTTTGCTATCTTTCATTTTTTATTTTGGTAATTATATAAGGAGACAAGAGGAACCCTATTGTGTTAATTTGAGATTTATCAATGAACATGGTTTTGGCATCTGTTGAATCTTGATATTTGATGTTATTGTAGGTCCATGAAAGGGAAGATACCGGAGAAGTTGATGTCCTCACCAAAGGTGACAGCTTGTTTGAATAACAATTAAAATTTGTTAGGAATTGTCACAATTACATTGTTTGGTATTTTAATGTTCTTTCTTTTAACTGTGCATTTTCAGGAGACAACAATTATGGGGATGACAGGCTATTATATGCTCAAGGTCAGCTCTGGCTTCAACGGCACCATATCATGGGCAGAGCTGTGGGGTAAAGCCTTTAGTGTTCAACCTTTTTTTTTTTTTGGTGTACAAAAGAGTTGTTTAACAAAAATTATTGGTTATTCTTTGTGGTCATCTTCAAGTATCATGGCATGTCTAAGAATTTCACACACACAGACACACACATGCTTGTCTGGACATAGGGCATTTTGGGACATATATATTGTGTGAATTACTGTTATTTTCTTATGAAATTTGATTCAGTAGTATTTATAAGTACAGTACCACCCGCTAAATTGGATACTGGAAAGTCAATTTCTTAGTGTTAGGTGAGGAATGTGGATTCTAGAGGAGAATTTGTCCTCCTTAGGGAACTGGCTTTCTTTTGGGGGTGAGGTAAAAATTGGGGTGGGAGTTGATTTCTCTTTTGTGTTTGGATCGGAAAGCATGTTAGCAGCCAGTGATGTCAGTCCATGAAAATGATGTGTTATGCTCTGGGAAAGACTTGAACCAAGTTTCAGATATTAGTATGTGTCACATCCTTAATGTTTTTGGCATTGTCCCTTTTTGTAGTTTTTTAGGAGTCACAGAAATGACCTTTGCAAGCATTAGATTTGGGTTTGAACTAGTCAGTTAAATAATCTATACATGTTTCAAGCAAAGGGGTGTTGTACCATTTTGTTGAAAAAAGGAAGTTTCTAATTGCTCATTTTAATTGCAGGTTCTTGCCTTATGTTGGTTGGGTGACCATAATCATGACTGAAAAGCCAATTATCAAGGTTTGTTTTCTATATGATATGGTTTGCTTGAACTAGGAAGCCAATATCCTAACGTGCTGAAGAACATTATTTGATTCATAATTTCCGGGGTTACTTTTGGGGATTCCCCTTTTTCTGTTCCGCTCTTTGCATCACTGTTGCATCAAAAACCAAAAACAGTTACCCTGTCATTCAAACCACCTTAATCTCACGTTTATTTGTATCAGAAATTAGGGTGGAGGGTGGCCTAGTTTAATAACCACTGTTTATGGTTTTGGAACACTTTGCAAAGATTCCAAGATTACGGGCAGTTAGAAGTTCCATAATATGTGGGGACATTAATGATAGTCTTGTAGAGTATCTTTTTCTTCATAACAACTTCCTTTCGGTTCATTGCAGTATATTCTAATTGGAGCGTTGGGTTTGCTTGTTATAACATCCAAGGACTGACGGCTGAAGCAAATTCAAGGCTTGGCCAAACTCCAAGGGCATCCTTCTGTAATTGCCAACTGCTTCGACCCTCTCCTTTGTATTGGTCATGCCGCACTGTATAATGAGAACAGAATACTTTGGTTATGATTTGATAACTTAAAGCCAGAAATGATGATATAATGAAGCAGGCTTGAGCAACTTTGGTTTTACTTTCTATTTACATGGTACTATTAGCTATCCTTCTAAGTTTTTGACTGATCTTAGTAGCGTTTGATACGAGGGAAGTGAGAGCATATTCTTTACAATGTGTCTAATTAAATTACATTGCTGTGTTTATTTTGTAACAGACCACTGCAATCTTACATTACAGTCAAGAGATGTAATGTGATTGCAGTCCAAAATTAATGCAATCACATTACATTGCACTCTGCAATATTTTTAAAGATATTTTTATTTTTTAACTTTATTATTTTATTAAAAATATTTTATAATGTTATAATTAAAATAAAATATATTAAAATAAAATATATAATATAAGAATTAAAAATTAAAATAAAATAAAATATATAATATAAAAAATTATATTAAAAAAATAAAAATAAAATATATAAGATTATAATAATAAATAAAAATAAAATATATGATCTTAAATATATATTTAAGAGATGATATTATATAAAAATTAATAATAAAAAATATAAATATATTAAATTTATATTTTAAAAATTAAAAATAATTTTAAAAATTAACATTATATTCTCAACAAAGTATTGATAAATCAAACGTTATAATATTATTTTTTTTATATTTTAATTATTATTTTACTTGTATACTAAACACTGTAATATTATTTTTTCTACAATAATATTGTTTGCAATCACGTTACTTACAATCACATTAAATTGTAAAGTATCAAATGTCATCTTAAATATTATAATGTTATAATTAAATTTGAAAACTGAAAAAGGTCGTACAAACTTGAGAGATTGAAAAGTAATCCATGAAATGGAGCATGAAACTAATTGGTGAAAACTGAAAATACTCAGCTCAGGTGAAATGTCCTGTTTCTCAAATTTTAGTGGATTGCATCTAACTGCGGCACTGACATTTTTTGTTATATTTCCCAAAAAAAAAGAGCTGAAGGGGTGTCGGGCAACAACCCCACACCTATAAAAAAAAAAAAGAGAGAAGGCAAGGCACTTCGTCTTCCCTCTTCCTCATTCTCGCAAAATCTTCAAACACTAATCTCTATCTCTCAAATTTTCTCTTCCAAACTCCAAAAGCCCTCACATCCATTCGCAAAAACCTTCAAGAAACACCAAAATCTTCTCATCAAACTCAAGATTGGAGGACTTTTTATCAAGGTTTTCAATCAAATCGCAAATTTGATTATAAAATATTCATTAATGTAATAAGTACTAAAATTCATTAATGTACATATTACATTAATTATAAAAAATTTATAAATAAAAATAAAAATCTAATATTTATAATCAAATTTTAATAGTAGATATCCTAAAACCACTACTTAAACCTGTGATGGAGAATAATTTTACTACTCAAACCCAATTATATAAAACCCTAATCTTATTTAAACAGATTGAATAATGTGATGTACCTACTGAAAAATTTAGAGAAATGCATAATATTTTTAACATAATCTCCGGAATGGAGGTAAGAGTCCCATGCGCACAGCAAAACAGGCCAGGCATTAAAGGAAATAACATTTATTATTTCATAATAAGAACAATTGATGTTTACAAAACCAATCTGCATTCCCGAAAATAGTGAAAACAAACAAACAAAAATGATGAAATACAACCAAAATGAATGTTTGATTCATGGAAGTGCACAAGCCTAACAAGGAAAACCTCCTAAGAAATTTATAACTTTTTTAAAATAAAAAAGAAAAACCGCCAGTGTGAATGCTCTCCTTAATCCCTACAAAGCATTAAGAAAAGTTATAAAACCCAATGAATATACTCCCAAACCCTTTAAGCAAAGGATTGTGACAATGTTTCAATCATAAACCACTTGGTAGTTTCTTTTTCTTTTTCCAGTTTTTCCCTGAGTTCCACAAGAGGGACAATGTAGGAGATCTCAGCTGTGTTCCTTTTTGCAACCTCACTAAATGAAATATAAAGAGCCGAACCATCTATCAATTGTTCTATGCAAGAAACCTCTTTGGTCCTTAAAATGCATTTCATGGAAGAATATAACCTCAAATCTTTATACAATTTAGCCGCTAACCAAAAACATCAGTAGAGAATTGCCTCCAAGTTCACCTCCCAATCCTGCGAAATACACAATGTTCCAGTGAACTTGAAATAAAAAATGTTTAGTGTCTAGTGGTATCACAATAAGTTTCCAAGAGAAATATAATTCCTAGTTACTCAGTTATGCATCTTTCTTTGGTAAAAAGTTATATGACTTTAGCAAGCAGAAAGTGCCACTTAACCCAAAATGATGAAAATATGTGATACTCACTATTTAGCAACCGATCAATATCTAATTAGGAAGAAAGTTCCTTCTTTCCATGGCCATTCTATTCTTCATCACTGAAGCTGAAACATTTTGTAAAGTTAACACCTCAGATACAAAGTAACAACACATCAAAACTTGGAATATTGCTCAGGTAATTCATCATATAAAGAGCAAAATATTAGCCCTGTAAGAATCAATATGAGCACTAACATGTGAAAACACGCATTGGCAAGAGACAGAAAAAGACTATGGGTCATATGGTTTAAAACCTAAAAGGAAGATCATCAATTCCGTATTGAGAAGGTGGAAAAGTATACCCCTTCGAAACAAGATAATAATTAATGTTTATGGAATGTTTAACACCTAAGGCATGCTTCATAGAGAGGAAAATGAAATTGCAAAACAGTTAATAAACATCTTTTATTGTACAAAAGAAAATAAAAATTGCAACCGTAAGAGCTCCATATGCAAAGAAGTGAGAACAATACAAATCATGAGAGGGTGTAGTTGCATGACAGCTTACAGGAATAAAGATTTCTGCTATATATTAGATTTCATTCATCACGGACTTATTGAGACGGTTCCACAAATTAATTGAACAAAAATGGGATCTGCCTTTGCTTTGATGTTAATCATAAAAATCTATATCCAACTAGTTTTTGGAACTATAACTGAATGGAGAAAACCAAACACTAGCTTCTTTTAAGCAGTATTTTTACATTAATCAAACCGGTCCCTTCTCAATCCATCATCTTGATTTAAGTCCTCGACAATACGGATTGCAAAGTATCCAATTGAGTTGAAGAAAAAGGAGGTACTCGACTCCTAACAAATGTCATTATCATCTTAGCCTTACCCAGTTGCCCATTTTTTATAAGGCCTTCAAGCAGTGAACGAATTGTATCCACATTCAGAAACCAATTCTTTCTCATACAGTCTTTACACATTGTATAGGCCAAATTGTACTCCCCTCCCTTGCAAAGATAATGAATCATTGTCTGGTAAATCTTAATATTAGGCCTATACTCCCTGCAAAATTCTAGAGAAGAATAAACCCTTTTAGCCATTTCAAGATAACCAGCCTGGCAGAATCCCTTAATTACCAAATTGTGTGTAACCTCATCAGGGACAATCCCGATTTTCCGCATCAAACACATCAAATCATTAGCTTGCCATGCCCGTCTCCTATTAACCAAATACTGAATCCTGACATTAAAAGTTGTAAGATTAGGTTTGCATCCCTTATACACCATAAGATTCCACAACCCATTGCCAATCACCCATTGATTTTTGTTATAGAAAGCTGATATAAGTGTTGTGTAGGTAATGACATCTGGCCTAATTCCCAGTTTTTCCATCTCTACCATAACCAAATAAGCTCTTTCTAAGAAATCCATTTCACAAAATGCCTTGGTAGCTATATTGACAGAATAAGTATCCAATTCAACATTGAATTTCTGTGGAACATCACTAAGAAATGCCTCAATAGCTCTTACATCATGAGTTTGAATCAAAACCTTAAGTGCAGCATTGAAAGACTTAACAGTTCTCTCACATCCATACAAATGCATATCATAAAAAGTATCAAGAGCATGCTTTATCATCCCAGCCTTACCATACAACATTATAATTCTCATAATGAAGCCTTCTCGCCTACCTTGTGGAAGAGTTTTCTGGTGCTCAAGCAAATGCTCAATGTAATCAAAGCGGCGAGCCCCAGCTAATCGAGAAACTGTATCTTCAAATGCAAATCTATTTTCAATGACAACTTTATTGTGGGCATTAGCCTTGAATAAAATGAATAACTTATCAGGGTCTCTCTCAGCTTTAAGTTTGGAGAGGGCACTTTGTTGTAAAGGTATTTTACTTGGAAGTTGCTTCGATACAACTGCAAAAGTATCAGTGGTTGATGCAAGGGAAGCAGCATGACAAAATCTGCGAATTGCTTGCAGAGATAACATGTTCTAATCTGCGAATTGCTTGCAGAGATAACATGTTCTGTTATCTTCTTAGACCGAAGCATATGCCCATACGACATACAACACCAATGTATCAAAAATCTTGTTCACCCATTTAACAAAATAAAGAATCCCAAACCCGGACAAAGAACACCCACCATCTCATACAGAAGATATCAAAATCCTTACGGCACCGTCATCAACAAATCCTAAAAAATACACCATCCTAAAAATGAAGAACCAGAAACAAAGAACACCAAAAAACACAGATTTAGAGGCCAAAGTATATTTAAAAATTAAAAAAATATAATTTGATTTGTAATAATTACAGAAAAAAAGAGCGAAAGAAGATATGCTTACCGAGTAGAAGGGATCTGAAAAAGAGTCGGTCGGTCATGCGCGGTCATGCGTTCGTTCCTTTCTGCTTGGTCTTTGTGGGGAGGGGAGGGTTTGGGGTTTAGGTTTTTTTCCGGTTAGGGAAATTTTGTTTAGACCAGGAGGCAGTTCGGCTATAGGCGAGTTGTTATTCGGCTATGGGCGAAAACGATCTGAACCCACCCATACACATGGGCGAATGAGGCGAATTGGTTTGTTAAGGAATTAGTTGTTAAAAGGAACCCAGCACCGTGTTTAAACATAGACCTGATAAAATAATTAAAAACATTTTTATTTATTTTTATTTTTTAGAAAAATAAATATTTTATTTTTTATTTTTTTGAACAAAATATTGCTTAATTTTATTTGTTTTTGTTTAACTACAATTTTTTAAAAAAAATTAGAATAAAAAAGCAAATATATATTTAATAAAAACTAAAAGTGATCAAATTTCTAATAATATATATATAAACTGCTTTTTCTCCCCTTTTAATTGAATTTTGTAATTAAATTTTGTGTTATTTTTCATTGTGAGAATATATATTACAATTAATGTCATGAATTTATTAACGTTAAAATCTTTTAATATTATCTTAATGGATTCAGGGTTTAGGGTTCAGGATCCAGGGTTTCGG